CCCCACAAAGAAAGTTAAAAATCTGAATATTAGAAAAAGTTCTCTTAGCCAAGTTCAAAGCCAGCCTCAGCAACGGACTGAGGCCTAAGCAACTCAGTGAGACTCTGTCTCCAAATAAACTATTAAAAAGGGCTGGGGATGGGGCTCAGTGGTCCAGTGCCCCTGAGTTCAATCCCTGGTACAAAAAAAAAAAAACACAACTCTCTTACTTAATATGTTCTACAGACCAAACAACACCCATCTGCAGAGTGGATGTGACGTGGGAGCCTCTGGTTTGTGACCACCGCCTAAGTCACAAGAAGCGTCCAGCCACAGGAAATGAGCCTCGGTTCTGGAACTGAATCACTGCCCCAGCCTGGTGACCCTGGCTACGTTATTTAACAATCAAGAGCCTCAGTTTCATTAACAGGAAAATAATCACTTTGATCTCACAGGGCTTGGTAAGGATTAAAAGAAAATGTGTGTTAAACAGGGGGACATGACACCTTCATGGGATAAATCCTCATTGATTGCCAATGTTTTTTTTTTTTTTTTTTTTGGTACCGAGGATTGAACCCCAGGGGTGCTTAACCACTGAGCCACATCCCCAGCTCTTTTTATATTTTATCTAGAGACAGGGTCTCATTGAGTTGCTTAGGGCCTCCCTGAGTTGCTGAGGCTGGCTTTGAACTCACGATCCTCCTGCCTCAGCCTCCTGAGCCGCTGGGATTATAGGCATGCCCCAGGGCGCCGGCTTTGATTGCCAATGTCACTTAAGTACTATTATTACTGTAATTCTTCTTCAGTTTTGGACACTCATGGAACAATTCTACACTGTAAAAATGGCTCTTTTTCTCTCCCTTCTCAAACTGGTTGCAAATAAGCAAGCCCACTGGCCCCCCTTGGAGACGCCTCTTGTAGCAGATACACCAAGTGCCTAGTTTTTAATGACTTGGTTCCAGCCACAGTCCATGGCGCTGCCATCCTCTTCCTGTTAATGGACATTCTTCTGCAGCCTGGCAACCTGGGGCTTCCCCTAGGCGACAGGGAGGTGATGGTTCTTCCAGGCTGGGCCACCTGTAGAGAGCAGAGGCCAGGTTTGCTCTCCAGCTGCCTTACCTTACATCAGTGGAGGGGAAAGGCCAGGCATCTGCTCTCCAAGACACACAAACCCTTGATCAGTTTTGTTTTTAGAATTTCTAAAAATTCCCAAATTTGCCACCTAAAGGTATGCATCACAATGAAAACACAGAGATTAGGGTCACCCAGGAAAAATCCCCATAAAATGGAACAGATTTGAATAAGAACATGGGCATCTTTACTCCCCCCAAGGAAGACCCAAGGTGGGGAAAGCTGTCTGCCATCCATGGTGCTTTGACCTGGTGCCTCTCCATCTTCAGGGGCACCTGAATCAGCCAGGGCTCTTGTTCCAGCTCAGATTCTGGTTTAGTGGGTCTGGGTCAAGGCCAAAGCCCATGCATTTAAAAAAAAAAAAATTTTTTTAATTATAGATAAATAATACCTTTATTTTATTTTATTTTATTTTTATATGGCACTGAAGATTGAACCCAGTGCCTCACACGTGTTAGGAAAGCACTCTACCACTGAGCCACATCCCCAGCCCTTTTTTATAGTTTATTTAGAGCCAGGGTCTCACTGAGTTGCTTAGCACCTCACCATTGTTGAGGCTGGCTTTGAATTTGCAATCCTCCTGCCTCAGCCGCCCCAGCCGCTGGGATTACAGGGGTTTGCCACTGCACTCGACTGAGATGACGCATTTTTAAGAGGCTCCCCCAAGACAAATCAAGGATGCTACCTGCCCCTGCACCTGCATGAATCAGCACGGCCTTGGCTTCATTTAGGTCTCTGCTCAAAAAAACACCTCCTGAGAGGGTCCTTTCCTGATGGCCTTATCTAAAGTGTCACTGCTTGTGGAATGGGGTCCTGGATCCCATCTGTTTTGTTCTTTGCTGAATCCCCAGCATCAGTGGAACACCTGGTACCAAGCAAGCACTCAAATATTTGTCCAGTGCACAGATCCCAGTGTGACAAGCAAGCAAAATGAAACTCGGGGAGCCGAAGCCATGTGTCCAAGGTCACACAGCTAATCAAAGCCAGAACAGAGGCTGGGCCTGCTCTGTCTGTACTTCAAAGCCCTAGGTCTCTCCACCAGGCCAAAGGGAAACAAGGTCTGTTTACAGCAGGCTTCCTCCGGAGAACTCGAGGGTCTTCCTGCTGTGAGGCAGTAACACAGTTCTGCATGCTGTTTTTTAAGAGCTGCCTGGTTATGTGGACAATGACTGGAGAGGACCAGAGTGGAAGCAAAGAGATCTGTTCAGAGGATGCCACAGTGGTCCAGGACGATGCATGGCAGTCCCAGGGTTCCTCTATATTTATTTATTTATGTATTTGGTACCAGAGATTGAACCCGGGGGTGCTTACCCACTGAGTCACATCCTCAGCTCTTTGCATATTTTATTTAGAGACAGGGTCTCACTGAGTTGCTTAGGGCCTCGCTAAGTCGCTGAGGCGGGCTTTGAACTCACGATCCTCCTGCCTCAGCCTCCAGATTCCCTGGGATTAGAAGCATGCCCCTCCACACTCGGTTGGTTCCTTGAGACTTGGGGTAAGAGGAGTTCTACTCTCCTAGGGTCAGAGCCAAGGCAGCCTTCCTGTTAGGTCTCTATCAGGCCTATGGGGGCCCAACCCTCCCTCCAGGGGGTTCATGGTCTCCCAAGGCAGAGGAGGGTAACATGGATTTCAAACTGCCAAGAAGAAAATTGTGGTATAACACAAAAGGTCACCCAGCAGTACACCCGTGGGGGAAAAGGAGGAGCGGCTTCCTTTCCAGCAATGGGTGGAAATGCTATGAAAAACCCTCTTTATGGGTCAAAACGAGGCCCTTCTGCTGCTAGCAGGGAAATGGCTTCAACAAGAAAATCCTTCCCACCCCGATGAGAGGGTCTCTCTCCAAACGAAAAGCTCCAGAGTCGGCTGAAAATCAAGCACTGTCTTTCCATCGCAAAATGAGTTGGGTTAAATGTCTTAAAATTCTCATCGCAAGTTCAAAGCCAGCCTCAGCAACTTAGAGGCCCTAAGCAACTTAGCAAGACCCGGTGTCTAAATAACACACAAAAAGGGCTGGGGATGGGGCTCAGTGGTTAAGCGCCCCTGGGTTCAATCTGAGGCTTAAAATCCTCCAAGAAGCTGTGGTCATGAGGTCTCAAGGGACCCCAGACACCTAGCATCCTCAAAGACCCTATAAGTCCTCCTGAGCAACAGTTGGGAGGAAGCTCAAAATAGTTAACAAAATGAGTGAATATTTCCTGCATACCTGGGAGTAGGCAATGTTAACCACATCTCCCCTCATCCCTGCAATAAGCGTGTAAGGGAAGTGCCCTTGTTCTTCCCACTGAACAGCTAGGGAAACTGAGAACCCGGGAGTGTTAGTGACTGACCAGGGGTCAGAGGTCATGCAGGAGGGGAGGACAGGCACCAAGCTACACGCCCACACTGCAGCACTACCCACAGGCCTCTGGTGGGAGCTGAGCCACAGGCAAGGGAGGGGAGGAAAGGGAAAAGTTGGAACCCACCTACCCTGCCCTGCCTCATCCTAGTTAGAAAGCAAATGGATCAAAAAGGAGGCAACAGAGCCAGGCACAGTGGCACAACCCTGTAACCCCAGCGGCTCGGGGAGCTGAGGCAGGAGGATCCCCAGTTCAAAGCCAGCCTCAGCCACAGTGAGGCCCTAAGCAACTCAGTGAGATGCTGTCTCTAAATAAAACACAAAATAGAGCTGGGGATGTGGCTCAGTGGCCAAGTGCCCTGAGGTCAATCCCTGGTACCCAAAAAGAAAAAAAAAGGGGGGGGGGAACCATCAGTCTTCTCTCTTACATTGGGTTTGTAAAATAAGCCTTCTACACCCAGTCCCATGTATGACCTGTGATCACACAGGAGCCCAGCACAGCCCACACAGGAGCCCACCTACTGGGGTATAGCATTGGCACTATTGATGGACACCAACGTCTGCCAATTACATATTTATAAGGTCGCCTGGCTGCACTGTGACACAGGAGTTATTAAATGCTCCAGAGCATCAGGGTTGCGCTCAGTGCCCTGAGACAAAGGCAGAAGGGCTGCCAGACCCATCCAAGCTGGAACAAAAGCATTTAATTTCTGAAGAAACCAATGGCGGGTTTACATAGAACTGGGTGCTGGGCACACATGACCCACGAGACCCAGGAAGAAAACCAAAGTAGACTTTCCTCCCTGGCACCCAGAAACAGCAGGGCCCTTGCCAGCAGCGTAGGACAGTAGGAAAGGCGTACACATCCAGACAGAATGCTACCAGGCAGCAGTCTGCGCTCACTGTCTCCTTCCTTTGAATGAAGACACCGAGGAGAATTGACCTCTTCTCTTTCCATCGCCAAACGGACAGCCCGTTTGCCTGCACCCCAACTTTTTTCCCAAGCAGTGCCCCAGCAGCCAGATGCACTGGAAGGACACTCAGATCCCTCGACTCCCAAACAAAACCATTCCGCTCCAGGCTGACTCTGCCTGGAAGTCAACATGCAAGGCACATTAATAAGAAACATCTGGCCACCGAAGACGGTTGACACAGCACAGGCGGGCAGTGGTGGATTTGTGGTCGGGACCCAGAGATACAGGGACTGAATTGAAAACACCAGCCAGTCCAGGCAGTGCTCCACACTGCTGTGCTGTGGCACTTGGTGACGCTACCATGCCCGGGTTGAGTTGTTTGGGGCCTAGTTACCTAGGCACAGCGTGGTGCCAAGCTTCTCAAGCTCTCCCATCAGGGAAATGCAGCCTGAACCGGGCTCTCCTGCGTCCTCCCATGTCTGGCCACCACTTCCACCTTGAATATTTGTAGCAGATGTAGCCCGGCTTTTAAAGGCACAGACTTTGCATTCTTTCCATGTGACTTACAAGTCAGATTGAAAAGGGGAGAATTTTATTTACTTTTCTCCCTGCAGTGTTGTGCGGGTTTTAAAGAGTCCTACCTCCATTTATGCAAGGCGAACCCAGGACACTGGTCACCACAGGCGTTACATGGCTGGCCTCTCTCTATCCGCCCCAGTCCGGTCAACTTCAAAACAAAAAGATAACACAGGCCACGTGTGAAGATGAGGGCTTCCTCCAAAACCCCACTGTGCCCCAGATAGGATGGCCTGCCTCTTCCACCCCACCTCCTGGGATCTGAGTCAGGGTTCCTCTGCTATGTGGGGGCCTGGGTTGGGGGGCTGCCAGTGCCCCAAGGGTGGTCTCCTGCCTAAGACAAGGCTGCAGACCCAGGTGGGCTGTCTTCAGTATCAAAGCACCAAGAAATGGCTTTGGCTGGGGCTTTGTCTCCCCCCAGACACATTGGTCACAGGTTTCTAAGAAACAAAAGCAAGATCCTTCGGTTTCCCCAGAGAGTGCCCGAAAAGGGACTCTCCGGCGCCTGCCATGGTCCAGGCTGCTGCTCCTGGGAAAGGGGTAGCAAAGGACACCCCCAAAGACAGCCCCAAAGTGCAAGCTCCAGGCTGGAGCTCCACACGCTGGACGCTGCATGGTGCTGTGGCTTCCGATCTGCTTTCCCTGGGCGCCCCAAACTGGGACACTTGGGGCCATGGTTCCTGGTGGCACTGTGGCCCGGCTGGCGGGGGTCGGGACTTAGCCCCTCGCGCGCTCCCCGGTGAGCTCATGGGCGCCCCAACTGGTTACCTGGGGCCACAGGTGCGCGACCGAGGGGCGGAGGGGGCTGGGCACTGGCGCCGGTGGCGACTGCAGGTACCCGGTGGGCGGGTGGGGGACACTCACCGAGCGGCTGGACAGTCTTTTCCGCGAGCTGCGGCTGAACATGGCCGGGCGCCTCCGGCACGCAGCGCCGTCCGTCGATCTGTCCGTCTGTGCCGCGGCGGGGAGGGCGGGTCGCCTGGGCGGGCCCCCTCGGCGGCCACCGGCTGCTGTCTCCGTACGCCCCGGCTCGCGCTCGAGCGCACGCCTCCCTCCTCCCGGCCACCGCCTCCCCGCCCCGCCCCGCCCGCGGCCCCGCCCCCTCAGGAGACCCCGCCCTCCAGAGACCCGCCCCGTCTGCGGCCCCGCCCCCTGGCTCGCCCCGCCCCGCCCGCGCTGCGCCCGCGCTCTCCCTTTCCCAGCCTCCGGGGCCCCGAGGTCCAGCTACCCAGGGCTGAGCTCTGGTGGGTCACCTGATCCCGCTCCAAAAGATCCTTCCCTCACCCTGTCCCCGAAGTTCGGGGCGGGGACCCCTTCACGGCCCCTTGCTGATGTAGCCGGGGTGGCGGGTGGAGATGGAAGATGAGGGTTTTTTACGCGATGGTGTCATTCACAGAGAGTTGAAGTCAACCTGTGCGGTGCACAGTGCTGCCTACTGGGACAAATTCACACAGCCTTGGAACCGCCACTACGTGGAGTCTTGTCACTCTGTGAGATGAACTATTTTTAAAGTTTGCCTGGAATCTAGTTAGGATTGGATGTTGGAGGAGGAGGAGAGGGCTGGGAGAATGAATTACGCCTCTCATGGTGCAGAGCCTGGGATGCAGTAGATGCTCATTATGTCATTCTCAATCATTTCATGCAATTGTCGATCTTTGAAGCCACCGGGCCTATCTATGTTCCTTGAATTTCCCCGCCATTTACTAGCTAGTGATCTACAAATTAGTTAACTTCCTGTGCCTCTTCTGCCTGCCTGTCAACTTCATTTACACACACACACACACACACACACACTAGTCTTAATCTCACAGTGTTCTTGAGAGATGAGTTCAGACATGTATAGTTGTTAAGATAGGCACAAACTCAGGATTCATTAAAGATTAGCTGTCAGAAAAGAAAATATTGTAATTTCCAGAGGTATGGCCATGATGTCCACTTATCATCAATGTTTCAGCTCAGATATCCTCTCCTCTGAGAACTTTCCTGACCTCATACTGTACCATCTCTCTCATACATTCTTAGCCCACATAGCTTTTTTATTTTTCTTCATACCTGGAATTAAACCCAGGGGTGCTCTAACACTGAGCTCATCCCCAGCCCATTTTATTTTTATTTTGAGAAAGGGTCTCACTTATGCTGGCTTCAACTTGCCATCCTCCTGCCTCAGCATCCCGAGGCACTGGGATGACAGGTGTGCACCACCATGCCTGGCTTGTAGCATACATTGAAATGATCCTGTTTACTTCTTTGTCTGTCCTCACCCAAACCCAAGTTGCATGACAGAAAGATGTTCACATTAGTTTTACTAGAGCCTGTCACAGAGCTTGCATGTAGTAGGTCCTCCATGAATATTTGTCAAAAGTGGACATTCTTGTCAAGGTTGAAAAAGATGGCTGTCCTGCTTGGCATTTTACAGAACAGACACGGAACTTGAATGAAGAAAAGCTGTTGGGCTGGAATCACTGCAAATTAGAGCAAGATCAGTCTACCTATCCCTTGGATTCTAAAGACCAGAGCGCCAGGACCCAGACACCCTGAGTCAGCTGACTGCCTTCATTGCCCAGACAGTAAAGTTCAGTTTTGTTTCTGTGCTAGAACTAGGGTAAGGCACACAAGGCCTTTCCCTCCGGAGCAAAACTAACTGCAGTTCCAACAAACTCAGTAACCACAATAAACAATATTTATATGCAGTATTCCAAAGAGTCAAAAAAAAAAAATCATTGAGGACCACATATGGCACTGCACACCTGTAAACTCAGACTCAGGAGGTCCCTGTAGGGCAGGAGAATCACAAGTTCAAGGTCAGCCTCAGCAACTTAGATTTTTTTAAATCTCAGAATTAAAAAAAAAAATCATCGATTTAAAAAAAATTCTTGCCACGCATCGTGGCATATGCCTGTAATCCCAACACTCCAAGGAGGCTGAGCAGAAGGATTGCAAGTTCAAAGCCAGCCTCAGCAATTTATTGAGTCCCTAAGCAACCTAGTGAGACCCTGTCTCTAAATTAAAAAAATAAAATAAATTTAAAATATATATATATAAAGGGGGCTGGGGATGTGGCTTAGTGGTTAAATTCCCCTCCACTTAATCCTTGGTACCAGAAAAAAAATTCCTGGTGAGCAGACATTAATATTTTAAATAAAAGAGGATCCTAGCCCATACTTATACTTCTCTGTCTCATTCACCTCACCCTAATCCTATTCCTGGTTTATATATATATATATATATATATATATATATATTCCCAAACTCAGACACTGAGAATGGAATCCCTTATATTGTATTTATCTCTGTAGTTACTACCCACTGTCACATTCAATGGTACCTTGGCAGAGGCTTATTTATCTCTCTGTCCAGGTCTAGCATAGGGGCTGGATCACTTGAAATGCTCAACAAACATTAAGTGACAAAGTAAAAGGCAGACAGGAGGCTCCCCTACACTCTCAACAGGGCTACTGCATACCCAGCACTACTGCACCGTGGCCTCATACCTGGAGGAAGGGGCAGGTGGGGTGAGAGGGTGGTGGGGATCCTGCAGAGTGGCCCATGTTGTCTATTTGTATTTTAATCATAAAAATACCTTTCCTAGCAAAGGTCAGTAACTGCATAATTAATGCATTACAAATTCCTAACAGATGGAAGACAGGTGTCTTCGGTGCATTTTTTCCAAATCCTGTCAAAGGAAGGACAGAAGCTCTTGGCAGTTGCCCTGCCCCACATCTTGCTTCAGGATAGATGTGGCTGGTAAAGCATGCGGTGATCATAAGCTCCTTGGGAGCATGGCTCTTTTTTTTTTTAACTTTAGTTGTTTTCCCCAAGTGGAAATGTGGAGAAGAGGTACCATGGACGTCACAGGTGGTCCATTAAGCCACAAGCACAAGGCCTGATCCCAGCCTGCAGAGGGGGCTCCCAAAGCACTCCTGACATGTATCATGAAGGAACCTCCCCAAGGTCTGTTTCCTCTCAATGGGAGCCGGTATCCTACAGGTTATTTGCACCTGAGTCTCTAGTAGCAGGAGCATCTCCTGATCTATTCAACAACCACTTGATCTTGCTTAGGAAGACACAGTTTAGAAACCCAGGGAGGACAAAGGATCCTACTGTCAGGCGTAGGTGAACAGTAAGTGATTTCCTTGTGCTTCACCATTGCCCTGGCTATTCATAGACATCATCTTGGTGATGTCTTTTCTTTGCTCATCTCTCGAGGCAATAAATTACTAACAGAACTTGAAATTCCTCGAGAACAGTTGCCAACATGGCAACGCTCCTTTGTCAGGATGTAAAGTGGAAATCCCAAACCAGGAAAGGCTGTTGGGCTTCAATTAGTCTTCCAGTGTGTATTCAGAAACTGGAAAGACATCCACAACCTATTAAAAGTGGATTGATGGGGAAATTTTCAGGTTTTCCTCTTTCTGGCTTTTGAATGCATGTGCTCTAAGGAACATGTGTTCATGTTATAATTAGAAATCTAAATATAAAGTTATCCAAAATGAAAAAGTGTGCCCCACCTGACTGAGGTCTTCTAACATCAGATCTGAATACAGTAAAGCAAAACTGTGTGTCATTGCCAAGGGCGGTGGCACACGCCTGCGGCCCCACGGAGGCAGGAGGATGGAAAGTTTGAGGCCAGCCTAGGCAACTTAGCGAGGCCCTAAGCAATGTAGTGAGGCCCTATTTCAAATTAAAGAGTAAAAAGGGTTGGGGGTGTAGCTCATTGGTAAAGCACCCATGTTCAACCCCGAGTGCCAAAAAAATAAAAAATAAAAAAGACCTGTGTGTCACCCTTTTTTAGGTGCCTGGCTTCTGTACTTTGGCTTTCCTGTTTTTTCTTATACAAATCTGTGATTTTGTTAAAGCCAGATGAAGCTTCCGGACTGCTCTTCCTACTTAATGGACATTCAAAGATGAGTTCATAAGGACTTTCTAAAATGGGGAAGAAAAGTCAGATGCAGTGGCTCATGCCTGTAATCTCAGCGGCTATAATCTCAGGATCAAAAGTTCAAAGCCAGCCTCAGCAATTTAGCAGGGCCCTAAGCAACTTAGGGAGACCTTGACTGGAAATAAAAAATAAAAAGGAACTGGGGATGTTGCTCAGTGCTTAAGCACCCCTGGGTTCAAGCTCCATCCTACCCTATATATATATATATATATATATATATATATATATATATATATATATGAGCCAGGGGTCTCAGCACAGCCTCACCTAGGTGCACACTAATTTCTGCTACCTACTGTGATAGTAGGAGCAAATGTGACTCCATTTTGTTTTATGACTTCATCCTGTAAAACAACCATGCCAAGTAGAAGAGCCATGACTGGGGTAAGATGTTCTTTTCCTTTTGCTATAGAAATCTTTAAGAACATAAAACTACCTAATGGGGTATTGTTTCTGTAACTAGGGTAACGGGGCTCTGTTTCTGTAACTGGGGTGACTGGGCTAACTGTGACTGGTTAGTCTTCCCTCCGCTTGACTGCACTCTCCCACTTCTGTAACCTGGCTTGCTTGCATTGCCTAGACCCCCTGAACATCCCTTTTGCGGTTTTCAGGCTTATAAGGAGTGCCCTTGCAATTGTTCGGGGCTGATCAGGGGAACAGCTTTATGTTCTGGTCAGCCACCACCGGTGTGCTTCAATAAAGGCTTGATTCGATTATACGTGAGTGGTCTGGAAGTCGGTTTATGAAACCCTGGGACGAAGCTTTAACTTATAACACTACCAGAAACACATCCGAATGAGGCATCAGGAAAAAAATCTCCCTGAACAGCATATAGAAGCATCATCAACGTGGCCTCTGAATCAGAAGTCTACCAATGGTATTTTGAAAAAGAGTCTTTAAAACCAAGAGTGATGGAGAAGTGGAGGAGGATGGCCAGAGAGAGATTTCTCTTAGTAGTGGGATTATA